CAGCATTGCTAATGTACATTCCTTTCATGGTGCTGTCATCAGTATCTTTGGATCCCTGTTGCTCATAGAGGAACCCCCTCCAACATGACACCAAACTGCATATTTTCCAACACATATTGCTCATTCTTATTTCTGAGCACTTACTGCAGTGCTCACATACGACATTATTCCTCTTATTCTCTATGAAATCCCATCTGTCTGATTCTTTAGACTCCAATATAATGATTATCTCCCTCCAGGAAAGCTTTTTTCAGCTATTACCCTCTAGTTCCCAAACCTTTAATTTCCATCTCTTATCCTCAATTACTACAGCTTAACTTTACTATTAATGCAATTAGTCCTGAAGTAGGATCCACAATGTACATGTTTGTATATCAACTTATATTTCCAGTGAATTTTATTTCTATTTTGGAAAGACAATACAGAGGTAAACTGTACACATGACTAAATCTGTGAGCTTGACTGTACCCCATCATCAGAAAATGGTCTTGTTGGAGCCAGAATAAAAAAATAAGCTGTATAGCCCCAAGCCCAGCCTCAATGTTAGCCTTGCTTTATAAGTCCCTTTTCCAAGTATAGGCTCAGAAGACGAATTGTAAATGTTCAACATTTGCAAATAAATCCATGTGTATGAGAATGGAGTAAATACCTTCTTACCTGAGAGAAATTTTATGGAACACTATATCCTAAACTTCACAGCAGACTTTCAAATGGTTATTTGCCCAAAAATACAAGACTTTTTCAAAGGATTATATGCAAAAGTCATAATTGTAGAATATTGTAGAAACTAAAGTTGCACAAAAATAAAATTTTCAGGTATTCAAAGCTTTTCTCATTTTAAGTAGAAATTACCTCTTGGGTAAAAAATAATATGGAAACATAGTATACATTTCTCTACTTTTTGACCCCCAAGATTGAACCCAGGCTCTTTGTTTTGAGCTACATCCCACTTTTTCTAAATCTTTCTTAATTGTTTGTTTGTTTTTGAGATAGAACCATGCTAAGTTGCTAAATTTCCCAGGTAAGGCTCAATCTTTAGGCTCCTGCCTCAGCCTCTTAGGGTGCTGGGATTTACTGGCATACATCATCATGCCCAGCTATTTCTCTGCCTTCTTAACCAGAGCATGCAGGATATATTTTCTTAGTGTCTCAGCCCAACATGTTTAGTATTAATTTCTATTAAGTTTGTAGTAAAATGTTGAGTTGCAATTACTAAGCCTTAATACAGATTATTTCCTCTTAATACAGAATAATTCTAAATTGTTACTAATTTTAGAATGTTTGCTTCTTTTTATCTCTGTTGTTTTGTATTGTTATTTGTTGCTGCTATTAATTTCCCCTTATCCCCATTGCGTATGTGCTTTGATCTCCTACATCTTCATATAACATGTAAACATTCTTTTACAATTTTGTCTAAAATAATATTAATGGGCATTGAATAAGAAATTATGTAATCTCCTTACATAAAAGAGCTTTAATATATAATATTCTTATATTTATGCTGTATGTCTAGAGCCCTTCAACTTATTTCTAGGTTCTTTACAGAGTACCAGAAAATTTGGATTGTTAGGGCTGTGTATCTTTACATACCGCAGCAGTGAGGGGCAGACCCAGAAGAGGCAGCAGTTAGAATTACCTGCTCACTGAGCTTGGACCACCCATCCTGGCCACCCTCCTGGAGGCGTGGACAGTCTGGGAATACTCAAGTACACTCTACAGCTCAGAGCAGCCATGGCCACAACCTGGTGTTCTGCCCTGCATCCGTTAGAGGACCTTTGTGAGGTCATGCAGCCGCTTACCTTCATTGGAGTCATCTCTTGATTATCTTAGAACACTTTGCAGTTTTAAAGTTGAAGAATATTGGTCATTGCCTTAGAGAGTACTCTGCCCTTTTCACTATTGTAAGCCATTTGTTCACTTCATTTTCATGCTTCCTGAAAGAAAAATTTAATGTAATGAAGCATTAAAGTTTTGAACAGTTACTATGCATGCATACCATATATTAGTTTTTAAATATCCAGTTTCCTTAAAACTCCTGACCACATGGAATATGAATATTTAATTAGAATTCTTACCAGTACATTAGGCACAAGGCCAACCAGCTTGTAATACAGAGCTGCTGGAACATGCCCTTAACTGTGCTTTTTGCTTTCTGCTTATTTGGGAGAGTGCTGTGGTCAATTCATCCGTTTCACTTCTGTGTGTTTATCAGTATCTGTCAGTAACAAATGCTCAACATTATGTTGCACTTAAATCCATAGAAAGGATCTTTGAGAGATAATACCAAACATGATGAACATTCGTTATTCCAGCCAGTGAGTCTATACTATGTCCAGACAAGTAGAGTACTTTCCAAGATTGTTTAATGTGTAGAAGTAAAATATCAGACTGTGAATGTGTTTTATTTGTTTATTTCTTAATTCCTTTAGAAGAGTCTGTGCACTATTTTCTGTTTTCATATGCTGCACTGCCTGTTGGATTCTAAGCATTTCATGCCTGAGATCAGGACTCCTGTTTCTTCCCTGGCTTTTCTATCACTAGGCTCACGGTGCTTTTTGGTAGAACTTGGTTTCATATTCTACATTCAGAGATCCCTTAACTTGATCAGCTAGCAACAAAATATGACTATGTTTATTGATAGTAACTGAAAGGAGAAATACCCAATGAGAGACAACCACTGACAGAAAACTTCAGCCCATAGGCTGAACCTAAAGGAATACTTTGGGAAAGAAACAGAAACATTAGATAAAATGGGAATTAGACTTATTTTCTTAGCTCTCTGTAGCCGGTTCTCTTCCTTCTCAACAGAGATCTTCCAAGGCAAATGCATGCCATGTTCATCTTTACATCCACAGCAGCTCTCACTGTGTCTAGCAGCTAAACCCTCAATCATTTTCAGATGGTGAAAAGAACAAACGTCCTTGGTTGCTCTTCTGGATTTTCCTCAGCCAGTTTCTATGAGATCTTGCTTGCTATCTTTAGTCTGCAGTAATCCAGCAGCCCAAAGAAGACCCATTTGGAAATATGAGCCTTTGTTCTACAATACTTATTTTATTAATTTTCCTAAAAAATAGGTGCTTCTATTTATTAACTTTTTCCATTTATATAGTACCTGTTTAGCACCTGATATGTTCTAGCAATAGATCAGTGAACCTACAACATCTTGGGATCCCATACACTGGACACTGTGTTCAATGCCTTGTGCTTTATTATCTCATTTGATTCCTACATTGTGAAGTGGATACTAGACTCAGATTGAAAATGACATTTCAGAGATTCAAAGCTTAATTGAATTTCCTAGGATCTCACAGCTAGGAAGTAGAAAACTGGGAATCAAACTGCAGTTTAACCATTGCTGAAGTTTACGCCCTTAACTTACGCCCTAGCCTCTACTATTTCTAGACTATAAATAAAGGAATGGAAATTACATCAATCAAAACCTGAGCTGTAATAGTAAGGCTGATTCATAGTACAGCCTGGAAAAGTTGTAAGACCCTAGTTCTGAGTGCATAGTCAGCAAGATATTTTCCCCCAAAACAAATCTACCTCAAACTGTCTGACCAGGAATATTTGATTAAATACTATAAATAACTCTTTCAGAGGCATCTTAAATTGTCCACTGTCCACAGTCATTCTAATTTTTCTATACAATAAAGATATCTTTGCAATACAGACGGTATATAAATCTGCATCAGGGTACTGTGGACAGTTCTGCTTCACAACTGAAACAAAATGGGTCAGTTTTTATCCAGATTAAATAATTTATTCATTTCTTTAAAAAACAGGTACTAAGAACCAGCTGTACACCACAGCTTTCAGTAGGTTGTAGAAAACAGGATATCCAGGAACTCTTCTGTCTTGGATGTTTTGTGTGAAGGTCAGGAAATTCAAAACACCCCGAAAATTTTAAAGATGATTCCAGGAAGTGATGAATGTTAAGAAAAATATGTGAAGGATCTGGGAGTAGATTGGTGTGGATAGGAGGGAGCTGCCTTAGACTGAACAACGGGAGAAGGCCTGACGAACAGAGACCTGCCTTGTGAGAAGTCAGCCAGACAAATATGAGAAAAAAAGTTCTCAAAAGGAATGTGAATGCCCAGGAGCAGTAACAAACCTCATTCATTTGTGTAACAGAAGAGGCTTTTGTTTCTGCGTCAGAGCTGGTGCTTTGTGCAAAAAGATGGGGTCCAGATGACAGGGTCTGATGGGTGTGACTTTGTATTGTCTGAACAAGGACACACAGAAGAATGGAAGGGGAGGCTCTGAACAATCACACCAGGACAACAGGGAGAATCGGGAGCTTCCCAGGCAGCACACCAGGACTGACAGTTACTCCACTTACGTGCCGGGCTAAGGAGTTTGAATTTTATTCTAGTGCAGTTTAAGCAAGAGAGTGATAAAATCTGCTTTACATTTCATACATGGCCACTTAGACTGCTGTATGAAGATGAATTTCTGGGATGGTATTTCAGAGGCTAATAAAGGAATCCTGGCAAAAGGCGATGGTAGCTTGGATGGTGGAAATAGAGATGAAAAGAAGGTCCCTGGTGAGTGGTATATTCTGTGGATGGTATTAACAAGATCCACCCTCGAGTCAGACTCAGGAATGAGGGCAAGGGAGGAAAGGAACTGCTTGGCTATTGCCTCAAGCCTGCGAGCAAATTGCGATGCCATTTGCCGACGAACAGAAAGAGTAATGAATTGGCTTGTGGAGATGATGGGGAACGAGTGTAATCAGCAACCTGGCTTTGTGTCAAGTTTGGGATTCTTGGCGCAAAACAAGTGTAGTTGTCCAATAAGCAGCTGGGACAGACTTTTCTTACAGTTTCCTTACAGTTTCTTAACAGTTTTCTTGTAATGTTATCTGCATCTTCAATAAAGCTGATTAAAATGGCATTCCAATATTCCTTTTACATATCCTTTTACTCATTCTCTCCCATTTCATTTTGTTTTTACGATTTGGTGTTTGAAATTGCTAATATTACTAATTACCTTTCTAGGAAAGTATAGACCTGGGTGAAATCATGTTTTCCCTGTGTTATTTGCCAACTGCTGGGCGTATGACGTTGACAGTCATCAAGTGCAGGAACCTGAAGGCGATGGACATCACCGGCTCATCGGGTATGCACACAGCTGGCCGCAGTGCTCAGGGCGCATTCCCAAATAAAGCATTTCCTGTACCTGCAGTTATGCATGGCAGAATTATTTGTCTGCAGTGGGCTCCAATGAAAGTAGAAAAGGGGATTACAAATTAAAATGTGCCAAGTCACCTATTATATACACATTGTCATTACAGAATTGTAAGTTGTTATCAAATAGGGTGACTTTGAACTTGAACTCTTTTTTAAATTTTTATTAACACAGAAGAAGTACAATGAACAATAAATATATAAAAAATGTTCGGGGCCGGTGATTTAGCTCAGTGGTTCCGCTGCCTGCCTCGCAAGCACAAGATCCCGAGTTTGATCCCTGTTACCAAAACAAAACAAAAAAATATTCAACATCACTGCCCTTAGAGAAGTTAACTTGAGTATTTGTTTTTTTTATTTCATTCTGTATTGATCTAGTTCTATCTCAGAAATAATAAATTACAGTCAACTCCCTCAGTGTCAATAAGTCAGTTGTTTGTAAAAGAGGTTCTTAGACTTTAAGCGGTGGACAAAGGCCATATGGAGACGTGTTTAGATTGAATCTGTTTCCCTCACTTGATCTGCAGAGGAATAACCATTTTCTAAGACCACCATTGACATTGGCTTTCTTGCCCCCTTTCCAACTAAAAGTTTGACATCTATAGGGACTACAAGAAACAGCAAATTAAATTAATATTTCTTGAGGTTCCTAAAGGAACTCTTCAAGGAAATTTGTACTAACTTTAATAAAGAGATAAAGCCATGTCATACCTCTTGCTCCTTCATTTAAATCCTTGCCATTGTACAAGATTATTTATAACCTATTATGGGAGCACTGGCATGGTGTTGGGGAAGAAAAATGACAAGAGATGAATAGGGAGAACCGTAAGTATTTGTTGAATTAAAGAAATAAGAAATAATAGTGGAGGTATAGTAAGGGATGACATTGGGGAAGAGGATCTATAATTTTGTGCTTGTTCATAACAAAAGAAGCTAAATTCACATTATAAAAAGCAAGATAGAACTCTAAGTTCTGATGTGAAAAGAGCTCCAGGATATACCCGGCACAAAAATAAGTATTGATGTCCTGCTCACGTCTGTGCAAGGATGGAAGATTTTAGAACATACATTCATATTGCCAGGATTTGCAATTATAGAAAAATAAAGGAGCAATGCACAAAAACCAATGGGCAAAGAATGGGGACTGAGAGGAGAAAGACTTCTTATTGTACATCTTCCTCTGACATCTTAATATTTGAACTATGTCATGGATTACCTATATTTTTTAATTTTATCAAATATAGTGTGTTGATAAATGCAGAACAGCCAGTACATTCAGCACTTATTTTGGTGAACAATTTCGGGTAAGTGTTGGAGAATTTAAGATTAACAGTGTACTCTGCAGATTATTGTTTATTCTACTCTTTTTCCCCTGTATCAAAAGAGATCAAATTTTAAGACAACCGAACAGCATTAAAGGTGTAATTAAGTGCCACATTGCTTTTTTTTTTTTTTTTAATATGAAACTGTTCAGCAGAGGAGCCTGTGCCTGAGCGTACCGCCTCATTAATCCTCACAACAGGCTTGTGAATCAACTAAGAAGCCAGCAAATTATCCTTGTCACCAGCAGAGAAGCCCAGACAGAGACATGATGGGGGCAGCAAAGGACAAACTGCGCCTCCTTCCCATTGTTCCCAGGCCTGCATGCTCATCCACAAAACCCTCTCCCCAACCAGGCTTCTTTCTTAGCACACAGTTACTGTGGTTTAAAAATTTTAAAATGAGGGCCAGGGATTTAGCCCAGTGGTTCCGGTGCCTGCCTTGCAAGTGCAAGCTCCAGAGTTCGATCCCCAGTGCCAAAAAAAAAAAAATCCTATCCTTTGGGCCGGGGATTTAACTCAGTGGTTCCAGCGCCTGCCTTGCAAGTGCAAGGTCCCAAGTTCCATCCCCGGTACCAAAACAAAAACAAAAACAGAAAGTAAAAATGAATGGCAAACAGACATGAGCATTACTCTGCTTCCTTCCTTGTCTTTTGCAAACACTGTTGCCCACTGCCCAGTACCTTTGGTTCCTCGATGGAAATGCTCTTGAAATACACAGGTACATTTTTCTCAAGTTCAAAAAGCACTAACTTAATAAATTAATATTACCATTACTCAGCTGGAAATTAAAATATATTACTGTGGGAACAGAGAAAGGAGTAGTGCAGCAGTGAGCGGGTGGCAAGAGGAAGAAGGCAGGGTGGGCAGGGAATTGATCGTTTTAACTGTCTAGCACATTCTCATGGTCTCGAGGTGCCTTAAAAGTGTAAATTTTCTCTAATACTGTAACAGTTTTTCTACTTAAGGTGGAAGATAGTAAGGGTAAGGAGGAAGGAGTCAAATGAGTAGGGAAAGAACTTGTTAACTACTCTTTGATGCCTTGGACACATAAAAACATAGCCAGCTAAATTTTGCTCTTTCCAATTGACATATAGGTACTGTCATGTCAGAGCCTTCCTTGTGGACATCATAAAACAAATACTACCTTTTGTATCACATAAACTTTACTTAAATTTTTGTAGTGATCTTTTCTTTAGTCCAAACTCCTTGTCAAGTAATCCAAATACCTTATCAAGTATGATGAAAATACATCTAATTTTAGTACCTTATGTAGCAATTGAAGAAAATTCCAAGTTTAATTTAGTTTTTCCTTTCTAATTTCTACTCATTGAGATTATATATACTTGTCTACATATCATCTTTTGCAAGCTTCTCATCTTAAATCATCCTGAAGGAAAGTAACCTGAATGCAATTATTTTTATTTATTAGGATTATATCCCCTATAAATCAATTCTCACAAAATGGTTCCTCACATAGGTGTGGCAAAATATGCAATAGACAGTTCAGGACTAGCTCTTCATTAGGTAATTTCCTCCCCTATATTAAAAACAGTGTGATCAAACTAAATCTTTGTTTAGTTTGTTCAGGATTAATTGCTTACCTTTAAAATAAGAAGTCTGTCAGAATCTGTTGCCCCCAAATAAGTCATTTGAATTTAAAGCTAGTAATGCTAAAGTGCTTAATAGTAGTTTTATTTATGCTATGTACAAATATTTTCATTTTAAAAAAATTATCTTCCCACTCCTAGACCCTTACGTCAAAGTCTCTCTGATGTGTGAGGGTAGAAGACTGAAAAAAAGGAAAACCACTATAAAGAAGAATACTCTAAACCCTGTCTACAATGAGGCCATTATTTTTGACATCCCTCCGGAGAACGTTGACCAGGTCAGCCTATCCATCACAGTCATGGATTACGACAGGTACGGGGACCTCTCTACCTACGGAGGAGCAGCCACATTTAGACACATGCAGGTTGAAGTCAGCTTTTCAGGTTCTTTGCCGCTCCAACCATTTCAGTTTATATTGGAGCAGGGGAAAATACTTCCATAGTTCATTGTTTTGTTATAGTTTGCGGGTTTTT